GAATATCACTCTTTTTCAGGATTTTTGTCATGGGAGGCACAGCTCCTCCCTCAGTAGCATATGTGGGGGAAGAGGGGAGTGAAAAGGGTACCAGGGGCAGGCCCTGACGAGCCTATGCCACAGGACTGCTGCAGTTGGTGTGTCGTGTTCAGCCACAGGGCTGCCAGCTACTATAGCTAGGCTGCACTTGTCAAAGGAAACTATCTTGAAGGGGGCATTCTAGTCTCCCTGGTAAATCAGGTGCCCCCTGTAAATCAGCACCCATGGCGGGTACCCTGCCCTAGTTGTGCAAGTTTCTGCACTACAGGGTGCATCTACAAGAGATATTTATTGTGCGGTTGACTAATTAACTATGCAGTAAATGTTGCATGTCTATACATGGGCCCCTATTAGGCTGGCGTAAACTAATTTACCCTGCAGTGTGGTAGTATAAGTATTATCGTCCTGTGCAGTAAAAAACTCCACAGCAGCGCATGTGTAGATGCTGCTCTGGCTGGTTGGGGCATGAGGGTACTACAGTGCAGAGGCTGACTGCTGGCTACCACCACAATAAAGCCCCTTTGTGCCCCAGATAACCCCTCTATAGCACAATGAATTGTGGGGAGAAGCCCTGGACTGGCAGGCTGACCCCAGGCCCCACTACCGGCCAGGGGTGCTCCAATTTGGCTCAGTGTGTTGCACATGAATAAACTCCAGGGCTTATTGCTCCCAAGTGCACATTCAAACAGTGTGCCCAGAAGCAATAAGCTCTGGAGTTTATTCATGCTCATTAAGTGCATGTGTAGACATACCCTCCAAGACCTACAAAAATGCTATTTACTGACTAAATATGGGAGGCTTATTTCATATTTTATGTATGGACAACCTGGAAATATAACACAAGACTAGAGATTAATTTAATGATTAAAACAGTAGAAAATCATTCAAAGAAAACTATAAAAGTGTATGTGTTGTACAAGTGTGTATTTTTAAAGATCAAAAACTGAACTGTACATGTCACAGAGAATAGAAATGGATAATAGAAGACAACAATAATATTGGATGTAAAAAATATTTGAAAAAAACAGTAGTCAACAAGAATTATGCAATAATTGTGCGATAATTCTGTAATTATGCAATATTGCCTCATAATTATTATGCAATAATAAATATATTTAGGGCTCCAATACAGAAATCCAGTTTGTGAAACTGATCAAGTTTGGTCTAAGGGAGCTGGAGAAGGGGACTGAAAAAAGATATTTTCTGTAAACCTCCTGAACATGAAGTCATATACAGATAGATTTTATGCTGATAGGAAGGACAGAGGAGCAGTTGAGGCTATTCATTGAAGAACAGCAGCACAGTACAATAACAAACTGTATCAGGGATGTATTACCTGGATTCTGGAACCAAGCTGTAGAAAAAGAGAGCATAAAATCAACGGTGTTCAAGAACTATGTGCTATAAAACCAAATGTTATGGCTAAGAAAAGAAAAAGGGAAAATGTTTTAGCAAGATTTTGGTTCTCTTTTTGCTGAATTTTTTTTTAATGAAAATGCAAGAAAAGATTGATACACAATATAAATTTTGGAAGGAGAATTTCAGTCATGAAATGTTTACTTGGTTTTTTTGTTCTGTCTTGAGAACTTCTGGGGTGGATATCACAATAGCATTGTATTTGCTTATCAGAAATTTGCTTTATTAAAACCCTGCACCATATGTGTAACCCTTCTGTTGGGCACCAGTCAGCAGCAATAAGGGCCAGGTTCAATTTTGGGATACTAAGTATATTTTAAATATATTTTAAATATAGTTTACCTTGGTTTGAGTTCCCACCCAGACCACCTGGGAAACCCCCTCCTTGCAAGCAGTGTAAACACAGAGGATAAATTTATTACAGAAAAATGAAGGCAAAGAAAACAAAGAACAACACTAAATACAATTTTAAACACTACCAACTACAAGGCATAGTTCATAGATTCATGTGCTTCACCCCTTTGCAGGCAGTCTGGGACTTGGGGTTCACCCAAAAGGCAGTTCCAAGAGCTTGCACCCTTGTACCTGTCCTTCAGCAATGGGCTGGAGAGTGGGGCTTCACCAGAGAGTCTTTTGAGCTGTTTCTTGGGTTCACTTGGCTGTGGAAAGCTGCTAGACAGCATGGGTCCACCTGTGTTATAAGGGGCCCCTTGTTACTCCCTGCAAAGCTGCAGGGCAATCTTCTGCTTCAATGTGGTGGCCTTGAGGGGTTAACTGTGGCTTTTGTCAGTGTGCTGCACTCCTAAATTTCTAGTCCCGGTCTCATCTCTGCTGAGCAGAAACTGCAAAAAACCCCAAAAGCAAGTTTAGTTATGAGCATATGCATAAATATGCCATTAGTGTTTGTGAATCCTATGAAATAATTTGCTTGTGTCATTTAATTCATATCAATATTAAATGCAAAAAGGAAGATTTATATATTACAAAGGCTATAGAAAAACCATTAGCCTTGAAAAAAAATTGTTCAGGAATATCTTCTTCATCTTTACTATTGTATTTTCACCTTTTTGTGAGCATTAGATTCTGCAATTGTTGGATAATCACTTTTGTTTCAAGTTCTTGTTTTGACAACTGTGGGTGCATCAACATGTGATGCTACATCATCATAGCAACATGCTCCCTTGTTATAGCATGTTACTACAGTAATATAGTGGCTAAAAATAACTATGCATGGTGCAGTATGGACTGTTACTGTGCCATCATTTAGTACTTCCAAAACAACGGCTCAGTAGGGGCATGTGTAGGTGCGCTCAGAATTTTCTAGTTTTCACTGGGAGTTCTGTGAAAGAGCAGAACATCCCTCTTCTCTGTAATTATGACACACAGAGCACATCTACACGTTCATTAATGAACGTGAATTATGTCACATTAAGGTTAGTACCTGTAATAACAGGTGCTAACGTAATGTGCTGCAATCGGCACTGCTGCACAGTAGCACAGATGAATGCTTTTTGCGTGATGCTTAATGCACATTAGATTAAATCTGCTGTTCATTACCATGGATTTTGCCTGCTATGCTAATGAGCAATAGAATTAATCCAATGTGCATTAAGTGTTTCTTATAGATATACTCACAAACAAGTATGCATTATTTATCTATATTTCCTACGTAATATTTTTTATATGGCCTTTTAGCAAAAGAGTGATCTTTGTTGTCCTTTGTGGAATTATCTATCTTTAATGTACAATACTGTAAATTAATAATATCTATAATATTTCAATTTATTATTTGAAACCTGTATTTGTGTTTGATTAGTTGTATCTTAATTATACTAATTAGTTTGTGTTATTAATTACATTTACCTGTCAAATATCTTTACAGCTCTTGAATATATGAACCCAAATATTAATTATCTGTTATTGTTAGTGTTATTTTAGCACTACAAAGAGCTTCATTCCATTGGAGTTGTTTCATTTATTATGCTTTCTTCCAAAAAGAATGTTTGGTTATGTCTTCTATAATATAACATTTGTTTGTTAATCCTTTTTGCTTTTTCTTGGTAATCTGAAAAATGATTTTTGGCTAGTTTAATAAGTTAAGAAAATATATTGTCCTTTGCAAAAGGTAGGACTTTTACAACTTGTTGACAAATGATCAGCCTGAATGTCTATGGCGCAGTTAATAAATATGCAAGTGTAAACTGTTGTTCTGATTACTATAGTTTGGTTCTCTAATAGGTGCAGTCATTATACAGCATAATTGGTGGAGGTAATCAACACATTAAAAATTTGCTAGTCAAACAAATTTAAACTAACCTGTTAGATGTCCTTCAAAATTAATAAATTTCAAAGCTTGCTATACCTTTCTAGAATGTTAGTAATGTAATACTGAGCATCTCTATATAGTGCCTGTAGTTTCACATGCATATTCAATACTTGGTGTGCCACATAACCTGACCTTTACTGATAATGGCACTGCAGTTGCAATATCCCTTACTAGGTTACACAAAGAGTATTATAGAAATTTGCTTAGAAGAAACATTAATTTGTCTCAAGTTTATATGATGGAAAAGCTAACACTAGGTGTGTTAACATACTCTCAAGTTTTGTGAATATTTTTCTCACTGAATATTTGTGGATCACATGAAAAATTTTAACAACTGCTTTAACAGACAGCCTAGCTGGACAGTGCAGGGGCTGGGCACAGCTGGGACAGGGACAGCAGCAGTGACAGCGGCAATGGATGGTGGGGAGTAAGTGCAAGGAAGGGGAACATCCCTACCCTTTGCTGCTGCTGCAGCCACTATCAAAGCTTAGATCCAACTAAACTTAGATCCATGCAGCTTAGCTGGAGTGAGTAGGAGCAGCCCTGAAGTTTTCACCACCCCGGGATAGCGGTGCAAGCTGCAGTGACAGGCAGGGGAGGTGAGGGAAGAGAAGGAGAGGGAACATGCCTCTGAGCCATGAGGGGAAGGGAGCAAAGATTCTCACCTAATGTGAGGGCTTTTTAAAAAGTCATCAGATGCTGTTGTGGCACGGTCCAGTCCAAGACAGAGGTGCAGTTGCATAACTGCACCCACTCTGGATTTGCCCCAGTGGGGTTGTATACGAGACAGCTCTAAGGTGCTGTCTTTTCAAAACTGAGAGAGGTAAAAAGCTTCAAATATGGATGCAAATATTACAGATGAATAGCGTGCCACTTATCAGCCTGATTTTCATTGGTGCCGAGTAGGTAAATTAAGGGTAAATTGTATCCTTGAGCTTTCTCTCCAGCTTCTCAAATGGACTATTGCTTTCAGTCCCTCTTCCTTGTAAAGACTCGATCTTCCTGCACCATGTTGCCACTACAGCTAACTCAGTTGTTTCCAATGAGATAATCTAAATAGACTCTTCCTTTCTCACTGACATGGTGTTATTAGTCCAGTTATTAGTAGAGATCCCAGCTGTTCAGTTTTAATCTATCCCAGAAAATTTTAAGATATTTTTCTTAATTCTTATTTTGAGAGATGACTAAACAGTTAAAATCTATTTCTCTTTTCTTCCAGCTTATGAGTTACAGAACTGCCCAGATCCTCCTCCTTTTTTAAATGGATATATTGTCAATTTGGACTACAGCGTTGGTCAGTCAGTATCATTTGAGTGCTATCCTGGGTATGTTCTGATAGGTCAGCCTGTTCTCACTTGCCAACATGGAATCAACAGGAACTGGAACTATCATTTCCCCAGATGTGAAGGTAACATTACGATGGTGTTAGAACTTGTGCTGCTCTTTATTTGTATCCATACAATGTCCCTTTTCCCAAAGAATGACCTTTATCAGCTGCTGTGCTGAAAGTATTGTATGAATAAAGGTGATGGTGGCAGAGGTTACAGTCAAAATATTAATGTTAGCTTTGTAATCTTTTTTGCAGCAACTATAGTATGCTCATTTAGGGTCAGATATTGCTGCTACTGAAGTAAGTGGAAGTTTTACTAATGAAAGGCACAGCTGTAATGGACCCTCAGCAACAGTTGCTAGGTTGTTCAATGAATTTTGTGCTCCCCTTTGAATCTGAGCTTCTGTTTCTTTGGATTCCCTTGTGGAATATGCACTGCAATGCAATAATCGTTTCTCAGTACAACTTTCATCTTAACTTTCATCTAAAAGATGAAAGTACAGAAGGAAGAACATCTGACTTTTATTTTGACTTTCAAAAGGCCTTTGACAAAGTCCCTCACAAGATGCTACTAAAGAAACAAAGTTGCCATGGTCTGAGAATGAAAGTATTGTATGAATAAGAAACTTGTTAAGGAGGCAGAACAAAAAGAACAGAAATAAATGGCCATTTTTTATCATAGCAAAATAGTGAAAGATACAAGTTTCCATAGCAGGATCTGTATTTAATATGTTTGGAAAGGTAGCTAACCTGAGAGGTGATGAACTTTGTAGATGACTTTTTTTTAGATTAGTCAAGCTGGAGATGACCAAGAAACTAGAAGGATCCAGTCAAGTGAGGAAAGGCCAGGTACAGATAGTACACTTATACCAGTCTCAGTGATCAGAAGTTGATCGAAACCTGTAACCGTATAGAAGTTCAGCAAACGTAGACTGGTCTAAAATGGTGGAACCTGGTCTAAGATAATCTTTCTCAATGTGAACTCAAATCTAATCAATATAGATTAGACCAATGAATCAAACTTCTGTACCATATTCCCTACCAATTCAAGTTAGGTCACTGTCCTTCAGCATCCCAGCCTCCTTTGTGACTCCCCACTAGCACTCCCTCCCCCCTGCTAGTACCTGGCCCCTGCTTGGCTGCTCCAGCCAAGCACCCAGCGTGCCCTGCCTCCAAGTTCTCCCAGATCTGGGCCAGCAGAGTCCCTTTTTCCAACCTCACCCTCTGCCTCCAGTCACTTGCCAGGCACAGGCAGAGAAGGCAGGGGGGGGAGGGAGGAGAAAGGCAGTGTCTGTGTCCACTGCACAATCCATGGGACCTGGGCATGCAAGTCTCTGGGCCATGCCCCTATACTCCATCATGAAGCACCCCACAATATACACATAGACTTGAGACTGAGTCCAGAAGAACCCCTGTGCTCAGCAGAGCACAACAGAGTCTGGCTGCCATAAATCCAGTCAGGGACTCCTATGCCCTTGTGCTGGGGCACAGCCTCAAAATATAGCTTCCTACTGCAAGCTGTCTTGAGTCTTCCCCTGGTTGCAGGTGGTGTTAGTCACTGTAAGAGAGAGAAAGCTGGACCAATTTGTGGACCAGTTGTCCGCTGTAGTATGGCAATTCCTGTGTTCCTAAATTGTGAACTAAACGCACTGAATAATGCTTTCAGTTTCCTGAATAGGGTAGTGTAATAATTGCTGAATTGCAAGTAGACTGTAGCCTATGAGAGAAAGGCAGGGAGAGACTGAGAGAGAGAGTTACATGCATGCTTGTGTTGTTTGTGAAGGGAATCTTATATTTGTACTTTATTATATCTTTTAAACTCAATATTCTGTGAACTCAGCCAAGTACATTTTGAGACTAGCTAACACAAATGGCAACACTATACTAAGAAATGTAGCATATTAAATGTATCGAGATGTAAGTATACTTTTGGCCCTACACAAGAAAACTGAGAGAGACAAAATCACGATTAAAATGGAATTTAGGAATTACTAAAAAAAAATGCCCTGCTAGTATCAACACAGCAAAGAATGCAGGGGGAACAGGAATCTAATTTGCATTGTTTCTACGTACAAAGAAATGAAACATTTTAATTATTTTTATAATTGATGATTTGTATTATTTATATTATTAATATTTGTATTTTACTGGTGCCTGTGGTTGGGCTGTCATAGAGGCCCTATTTTGCTGTGTGATGTAAAAACAAAGTACTGAATAGTCCCTTTTCTGAAGAGTGTAGCATCTAAACTGAAAAAAGTGTTGTGGGGAGTGGCTCTGGCTCTCTCACGCACACTCATGCAGGTAGATACCTACAGTGATGTCTTTTTGGACTTTGAGGATCAACACAATCTGGTGGCTCAAAACCTGTGGCATAGTCCTTTGGACTCACCATTCTTTAGACACATGAATAATAATATGGTGGGAAGGATATTTTCCCAAGAATAGCCTGGTTTCTAATTCAAACTAAATGCCTAATATAACATAGGGAGCAAATACAAAATGACAGTTAGAATAAAAAGCAGTGTTTTTTATCTGTCCCTTCTATCACTGGGTGAGACCAAGGAGAATATTGCAAAAAGAGAGACTGTCTACTACAAACTTGAAGGCATATAGGAAAAGGGGTGAATGATTACTGCTGTTTTTCACTGGAGAGAGAATATTTGTAATTGCATATATACAATGGATATAATAACATATACCCCCTACTTTAAAATTTTTAGATTCTGGACAGATGACTTAGTACAATGCCTGCATTATGTCCTATCAAATATTTTTTCTTATGTTTTGGCAAATGTTAGCATAATAGAATCTAGAAGATGTATCATCCAAGAAAAAAGCTCAAAGTTCAGGTACATCAAATAGAAAAAAGAAAGCTAAAAAGAATACTTGCCCTAATAAAAAGTCATGAAACCATATGACAAAATGTATTTACTTGCCTCATCTCTAACAAAATGGAGACATTTAAATTCAAAGAAATTAATTGTTAAATATGTTCTAAATTTAATGCTGCCCAGATAATAATAAATTCAAACATATTATCCATATCAAGTAAATATAAATTCCCATACATTTAATCAAAAGAGGAAATTCTGAACTCATATAACACCCACAACATATATATTATATACATGTTAATATATGCATGTTATGTAAGGATAGATCTTTAGTTTTTTTGTTTTAATGAAGTGTATGGGAATTTCTATTTTCTTGATGTATATTGTTTGTGTATATGATGTGGATATTGAGAAGTTTAGCTAATGTATTTAAAATGTCTTTTTCATAGACATATTGCATATAGTTCTTTATGAAATGCATAAAATACTCTTAATTTTATAATAATATTATGTGTATATGTAGATTTGCATTTCAGCCAGAACAATATTCTAATGATGTACACACACAAATTTTAGTGTTTTGTATTCAGAAAAAATGTGGGATTTGCTTTGTTTTTGTAACCTGATATAAGAATATTTATTTCAAACAGTAAAGTGGCTTATGACATTCCATATACAGAATAATATGCTAGTATGTTAGAGACAGTGTACAATTTGTAATATTCTCAGCTATGCATTTCCTTGCTGCTAAGTGTATGGATTTTTAAAGGAATGTGAAAGACAATCGCAATATTTCTTGGTAATTTTACCTGGTTCCTTAAATGAAGGAAATAAAGTGCATTCAAAGGATATAGTCATGAGGATTTTGTTTCCTTTATTAACATTCATAAAAAATGAAGTAATGTCTTGGTTTAAAATAAATATTTTTAAATATATTTAAAATACATTTTAATATTCTTGTATGTAAAATTGCCATTAAAAGGAACTGTTTCTAGTGGGATTCTATAGGGATCTGTTCTTGGTACAGCGTTAGTCAACATCTTTATCAGTGATTTGTAGGAAAATATAAAACCACTGCTGGTAAAGTTAGCAGATGATGCAAATATTGTGGCGTGAGAAATAATGTTAGGAATTGTTCAGTTATACTAAAAGATGCAGACTATCTACTAACCTGAAGGAAAAGATTTAGAAAACTAAATGCAAAGCTATATAGCATTGAAAACTATGTATCCTGGAAAACAGTGAACGTAAAAAAGGCTTGGATCACATATTTTCTACATACAAGGCTGTGGCGAAAGAAGTGAATGCATTCTTGGATGTATAAAAATAGCAATGTCAGGTGGGTTTAAGAAGGGGACATTATCTTTGTATAGAGTTTCGGTGACACAATTACAGAGCTAGCTAAGAAATTTCAAAAGGGTTTAGAAGAGATGATTTGATATCTGGAAAATATCCTTATATTAGAAGTTTAAGAGGATCAGTCAACCTAGTTTGCCAACCAGACATAAATTAGGTGACATACTTGAACTTTGTAAGTACTTGCCCAGACATACAGGATGCGTCCAGACAAGTGAGCACATGCCTGTTGTGGTGCCTCAAAGCAGTTTGAGATGCCACAAGAGACATGCTAAAATTGAAAAAAATGTTCTCTGCACTGAATATTAGTAGCATGGGCTCTAAATTTGACACCAAGAAATCCCAGTATCAAAAAAACAAACAAACCCACACTGAAAAAAAATGGTGCAAGGCACATTCCAGAGACAAAAAGAGGCTGGGTCCTCCAAGGAGAAGCTCTGGCACCCAGCCAGAACATCTCTATTGGCTGTTTCATGCCCCTGCTGTTCCCAGCACCATGTACAGGGGCTGCACACCCTCGGACTGAGCTGGGTCCTGTCTCCATTTGCCTGGCAAGCTGTTGAGCCTGGTTGGCATTTCATATAGTGGCATTTCATTTTAATTTGAGAAGAATCTGGATTTTGGCCATTTTAATGAGAGAATTTGGTTTTCTTATGAGAGAATTTGCCATTTTTAAACAGGGAATACCAGGATTTCTACTAGTTGAGGCAAGGGACAGGACCTGGGAAGAGGAGCCTGCCCAGAGCCAGCATTGGGGACCCAGCTAGAGGGCACATGAGTTGGCTGACTTCCTGACCATTTGGGGCCAGGAGGGCATGCATTGACAGTTGAAAGTGGGCCACTGCAAGGAGCACATATTCTGAGTGATAGCTGCCCAGATGGCAGAGT